GCAAGTATCAGTCCTTCATCCCTTTGTATGGTGCTGGTGTGGACTTCTGCAATGTCCTCCCACCTGGTCACCCTGCCTGCATTTACTAGGGTCCTCAAGAACCTGCTCACCATTGAAGCTAGAGTGATCTTTTTCAAATGTAAAATCACATCACCTCACTCCGTTACTCAAAATCCTCCAAAGGTTTTCTATTTTACTTAGAGAAAAATTCAAACTCCTTGCCATGGGCTCCAAGAGTCTTCAGTGATCAGGATCTGATTCTGTCTACTTATCTGACCTCAGCTTCCCACACCCCACTCACTCTGTGCCAGTTACTCCTGCTTCTTTAACCTCTCCGGCTTGTTTCTGCCTCAGGGCCTCTGTACCTGATGCTCCCTTCACCTGGGGCTCTTCTCTCACAATTCTTCCCACGACTGGTTTCTTCTCATCTTTAAGGCCTCCCATAGCATCTCCTCAGAGAAGCAAGGCTAGATAAACCTGTCTCAGGTATCTTTCCCTCAATTCCCAATCACCTATTATTGCATTATCCTGTTTTAATTTCTTTATAGGATTTACTACTATCTGAAATTGTTTTGTTTTGTCATATTATCATCTTTATCTCCTTGCAAATCTGTCAACTTCATAAAGGCAGAGACTTTAACTGATTTAGTCATTGCTGTATCCCAAGCTTCTAAAAGGGAGCCTAGAAGGTGCTCAATTAATATTTGAAGGATTGCATGACTGTCTTGCCTAGAGCTCAGAAAGCTTCTAGATCTTGCCCGATTCTCAGTTCCTAAAGCTGGGTCTCTTTACCTATTTCTAGACTGCTATTGCCAACTACTGCTTCACTGGATTTGTCTCTATTGCGGGCTTTTTCATTGTCTGACATTCAACCCTTCCCTAACACCCTCCATGATGACTTTTCTGGACATCCCTATCACAGGATAGCAGGTCTTGTTAACCTGTGGGTCCATGATCAAACTGAACCTTCATTCTTACAGGTTGTAGGCAGAAAGCAAAGTTCAGTTGCCCATTTGCAATCAAGAATGCCAGAGATAATGGGTGAGAGGAATGAGCATGGTACCCAGAGTCAAACTTTCAGTACTGAACACAGTAAGAGTGCTTTAGATGCTATATACTACACCCGATATAGTACAAGCTCAGTTTAAATGAATGTGAACTTCTAGGTACAGATTGGAATGTTTGTAACTGAATTGTTAAGTCTCCCCTGCAGAGATTCTGGGATCTAACTTCTTCAGACAAAGGGGGACCTGTGGAATCAGCTTCATTTCGTTTAGTCAATCGTGGAACCCCCAATCTTTGCTCCTGGATAAATAAAGTGCCTATCTTCCCTCATTCTCCCATCTGTCTTCTCTTATCATCCAAGCCACATAACGGCATGACCATTACTGCACATTTTGTCTTAGGCATTTTTTCAAAAATAACTCATATACAGAGAGTAGAGGATAAGCCATAAATAAGGAGACAATATTTGCTGAACATTTAACCAATAAAAGTTCCAGAAAGCATTCCTATAATGGGTAATTAAAAACAAAACAAAACAAAAACAAAAACCTAACAACCCAATGAGGACAAGTAACAAATGTGTATTTCACTGAAGAGAAAACAATGATGGCCAATACATTTGTGGAAAGACAGTCACTCTCATTAATGCTGGAAACTGTAAATCAAATCCATAATGAGATGCCACACCCACCAGACTGGCAAAGCTTTTTGTAAGGAAATTTCATGCACTGCTAGTGGAGTGTAAATTGGTATAACATACTGGAAAACAATTTAAAGTGTAGTTTAATCAGATTTTCTCCCATGATACCTCTACTTCTAAGTATATACCTCTGAAAACTCCTGTGCATGTGCACGGAGGGACATGTACAGGGACATTCAGAGCTGCCAGGTTCATGCAGAAAAACACTTGTAATGCATGAGTTGTTCCTTTTGCTGACCTACTAGGGGTATAAAAAGCATTGAGGCCACTATTTTCAGGGTTCTCTGTTCTCACTGACACCTCACTCCCCACACGCTGCTGAGGCTAGACATCCTTCAGTGCACTTCCAGGAAACCTAAAGAAGGCAGTGGGGAATCAGAGCCACCCCTACCCGCTGACATCCTTTGCACTACCTTTTTACTACTTTGGGAATAAATCAAAGCATAAGCAATCTTGAATCAAATCTACTCTCATCCATCCTTGATTCGGAACCATGACTTGCTCCCATGCTGCATGAATATAAAGAACTTAAAAAAGGTAGTGATTATTTTTTTCACATTACCTGTCAGGATCACATGCCTTCCTCACTCCATTTCTTTCTTTTTTTAAAGATTTTATTTATTTATTTGACAGAGAGAGAGAGAGCACAAGCAGGCAGAGGCAGAGGGAGAAGCAGGCTCCCTGCAGAGCAAGGGGAGCCTGAGGTGGGACTCGATCCCAGGATCCTGGGATCATGACCCCAGCCGAAGGCAGTTGCTTAACCACTGAGCCACCCAGGCGCCCCTCACTCCATTTCTGACAGAGCACTATCCCAACCTGCCATGTAATACCGCTATTTGAGAATGGATTTGGGGTCCTTCACCAAGTTCTAATTTCCTCTAGGGAAGTTCCTCCCGTTACTAAATGTTCTAGTCTTGAAGGCCATACTTTGCCTATAGTGGGTTGTACAGTGCATATCTAATGCATTAAAATCCCCGACTTAGAAAAGAAACGTCTTCACAGAGGGGCCTCCCTCACAAGCTGATATCATTGGGCAGACAGTTTAATATCTCCAAGCATCATCAAATGAGAGTCATAATACTTTTACATCCCAGAGATGCCATGAGTGTTAAATTAAAAAGCATGGGAAGTTGTCCCTTAAGAAATGTTAATGTACGTCCTTTCTACCCTTTCCTCTGTGTTCCTTTCGAAAGGAAGTCAAATGAGATCAGTCTTCCCTCTTTCTGTAGAAGGAAATTAAAACAGTATCAGCCAGTATTCCTGGAAGAGGCTGCTTCCTGGACATTTCCACTCAGGAAGTGAAGAAAAGTATGGAGGAGGATTGCAGAGCTCCGATCACCCTAGAAATCAAAAGGCAACGGCCAGGGAGTGACAGCAGGAGAAACACATAGAAAAAAGAGTAACCTTGGACTTGGAAATCCACAGGACAGCCAGAGAACTTCCAGACCTATTGGAAATGTATGTGTGGTCAAATCTCAGCAATCCCCTCTTCTCGACCTTCTTCAACAGATAACTGCATTTCCCTAAATGATCTCAGACCTTGCAGGAATTTGGGGCACACCAACAACACCACTGCTCTGATATGCACCGAGCTGGTGTTGAGAGCTGGGGATGAACGAGTGAGCCGGACAGAGGTGCTTCTACAGAAGTGGAGCCATGCACAGTCGGTGGCGCACAGAAAGATTTCCCGAGCCGGTGAAGAAGGGGCGTCCCAGGCAGACGTGAGAAACGAGAGAACGTAGCCACCGCCAAGCTTAAAAACCTCCGATCCCAGCCTCTCCGGACCTCCTGGTTTGCCATCCTCCTCGGCTCCCAATCAAATTCTTGCCAAGAAGCGAACGGACCCGCACTGTTTTGTTTCCCTGCTCATCTCAGAGCCGCAAGGACGGGCAGAGAGAAAACGCGCGGTGCCCTGAGTCAGAACTATGAGCGGGGGCGGATCCCGCTGCGGCGGGGGGCGGGCAGCGGGTAGCGAGTGACGCGACGGAGGCCGGGGGCAGTGGCCTGCGAGGTGACGCGCGAGGGGACCGCGCCGCCCCAGCCCACGTGTCCGCGAGATTTAAAAGTTGGAGGCGCGCGGGGAGGTCAGCTTGGCTGCGGAGCCCCGCGAGCGGCGCGCCGGGGACACAGAGGCACTGTCAGGGCCCCGCGTGCAGTGCTGGCCCGCGCAGCGCAGAGTCCGAGGCCCCGAGCCGCCCGCCAGCGCCGAGATGCCGCGAGCAGTCAACCGCCGCCCCGCGCGGGCCCCCGCACAGGTGGCCGCCGCGTCCCGGCCGCCGCCGCCGCTGCTGCTGCTGCTGCTGCTGCTCGCCGGCTGCGCGGGCACCTGCCTAGGTAAGCGGGCCCCGCGCGCTTCCCGGGCTCCCGCGCCACCGCTCCGCCCCGCCCCGCGCCCGCCGCTTCTTGCGCCTTTTCCCTGGCCACCTGCCGCGCTCTCTTCCCTCCCTTTCTCTTCTCTTCTGTTGGCTTCTGGTTCTCTCCTTCCCCTCGTGCTGTGGGGCTCCCCAGCTTCTCGCCTTTGACGACCCGCGAGCGGCGCAGGCCGACTGGCCCGGCTGGAGCGCAGTCCCTGCCCGGCCAAAATCCCCAGGCCCCGGGCAGCCTGCGGTGGGCGGAAATTTGTAGGGCTCCCTCACACTCGGGATGTCCCTGGCCCGTGGCCGTGAAAACTTCCATAAATTAACATAGTGAAAATTAGTGGCGCCTGGGTGGCTCAGTCGTTAAGCGTCTGCCTTCGGCTCAGGACATGATTCCAGGGTCCTGGGATCGAGCCCCGCATCGGGCTCCGGCCTCGCGGGGAGTCTGCTTCTCCCTCTCCCTTTGCCCGTGGCTGTGTTCCCTCTCTCGCTGTGTCTCTGTCAAATAAATAAGTAAATAAATCTATCTTTTAAAAAATAGTGAAAATTAAAATGCGTTCCCTTTCATTGCAATTACTAGAGGGATTGATGGCTAAAGTAAAACGAGAGTTTGATACTTCACCTGCTGATGCCAGGTAAACTTGGAGAGGGCGCATCTTCTTTAGTGAGTGAGCGCGTGTTTCGTCCAGACAACCCTGACAGGCCCCATTCTAGCCATTTAGAAGGGGACATGGTGGGCTCTGTGCCTTTTAGGTTTTGACGCACCAGATCAAGAAAAAGAATGGAGACTTTTTTTTTTTTTTTTAATCATAGAGCTGGAGAGGCAAGTGCACAAGCCGGGCTTTCAGTCCATGCCACAGCTAAAGCCAGTGAAGGCAGATGTGATTTGATAAAATAGAGACTTCCTGTGCTTGGCTTAGAGAAAAGAAGTGGGAAAAGCAAAAGCGAGGTCACGGAGGGATGTCTGAAGCTTGGAAGACAAGGTAGAGCTGAGCCCAGCATGTTCCAATGGGGGAGATCCCTTCCCTATTCCCTAAAGGTTATGTTTCCAGGTACCTTGAGGGATCCATCCTTTACCTCCCACCTCTGAACCCAGAGTCCCCTCCAGGGCCAACCAATACCCTGCTAAGACCACGAATTTTCTAACTCCACAGCAGCTTCTCTTAGCTTCCTTCTGCTCTCCTGTCAGTGAGGCAAAGGTGGGCAGACCATCTCATCATTGTTCAGAACACTGGGGACTTGAATCCGTAACTGCAGGGACCTTTCAGAGCATGCAGGCCAGCCCTCAATTAGAGGTGGAGAAACTAAAGCTAGTCTTCTTTTCCAATGTATTTATTTTTATTGCTGTCTTTTCATTGTTTTTTTTCCCCCCTTTCCTGGGGCATTGGAGAAGGGGGCGGGTGGGGGAGCTCTTCTGCTTGAAGAATGAGGTCATTTGGCTATGGAATCTAAACAGTCAGAGGCTAGCTAGACCTAAACCTTCTCCATCGCATAGCCAGCAGTGATACAGCATAACTTATGCAAAGTAATGTTAATATTTTTCTGTTTTAAATTTGTTATGGTAGAATTAGGATGGCAGTCTTTATCTACCTTATTAAGGAAGCAGATAATTATAGTTTTAAAGGTGTCTTTTTCTCCATTAAACAAATGTACTTGCCAAGCATGTTACATGTTATATGCTTACAGTGATATTTGCATTAGTTGGAGATAAGTGCTTTTTTGGGAAGTGGGTTATTTTCAGGCTGCTGGTGATTAAGCAGAAACTCTGGAAGCCTGCTTTCTAAAAAAGACAAGTCTTGGGTTTTATTTCAAAAAAGAGCATATCTGCTTGCTGACCAATCATCTCATAAATATCCCCAATATTTCTCAAGCAAAGGGACAAGATGCCTTTTTCACTACACAGAGACCCCTAGACTACCATTTTGTATCTTTTTCCCCTGTAGACCTGCCCTTGATATTAAAAAAACCTAATCTTATCTCTCTAAAGATGTGAGAGGAAAGGGAAGAGGGGAGACATATAGTGTGATGTTCCCTAGTCCTGCGTTCCTAAAAATGGTACTGGAGGGGAAGCATGACATATATAACCAAACATGGGAGATACTCTACCAAGATTAATCATTATGCAGGATGCAGCTGGATGTATCTAAAAAGCAGCAAAACATATGTCACAAAGCCAAAAGAAAATAAAATAGTGCCAGTAAGTGGAACATCCTTGGCAAAACGAGTTAGCAGAACATGCAACAGCAATGAGAAGATGAAGAGCCAGCCACAGGTTTGGTGGATGGAAATGGTTTACTCTTCAGAGAACATTATTAAAATAAAAAAGGAAATTTCCTAAAAGAGGGCATATTTTGGATAATTGCAACAGACCTTGATTTGGTCTGTGATAGTAAGTGATCAAAATGCCCGAGACTAAATTAAGAAGTGTTTTTTTTTAGGACACCTGGGTGGCTCAGTCGGTTAAGTGTCTGCCTTCAGCTCAGGTCATGATCTCAGAGTCCTGGGATCGAGTCCCGCATCAGGCTTTTTGCTCAGTGGGGGAGCCTGCTTCTTCCTCTGCCCCTCTCCCTGCTCATGCTCGCTCTCTCTTTGATAAGTAAATAAAATCTTTAAAAAAAGAAGTGTTTTTTCCTACTCAGACCCTACTCACTGAATAATTCTTAAAATTCAGTCAGCAGGAACAATTTCTCACTTTCAAACCCTACACTATTTAAGTGCTAGCAATGAGAAAAGAAAATTAGCACCACTTTTAAAGTCTGTTTTTCAGAGAAAGATAAATACTATATGATCTGACCTATATGTGGAATCTACAAAAACAAAAACAAAAAAACCCCAACGAAATAAAGTCAAGCCAAGCATGTGAATACAGAGAACGGATAGGTGGTTCACAGAGGTGGGAGGTGAGGGTGTGTGAAATGGGTAAAGGGAGTCAAAAGGTACAAACTTCCAGTTATGAAGTAGATAAGCCATGGGCATGTAATGTATAGCATGGTGAGTATATGGTATATTTGAAAGCTGCTAAGAGTAAATCTTAAAAGTTCTCATCACAGGAAAAATCTGTAACTATATATGGTGATGGGTGTTAACTAGACTTTTTGTGGTGATCATTTCACAATACATACAAATTTAAGATCATTATGTTGTACACCTGAAATTAATATAATGTTGCATGTCAGTTATACCCCAATAAAAAGTCAGTTTTTCTTTCTCTTACAGATGATGTATTTACAGATGTAAAAGTTGTCTACCCATATTATTTGCATTAGTTAGTTAGACTGTACAATATAAGACTAAAGGTTTCACTTCACTAGATAGTACATAAGTATAAATATCTCAAAACTGATCAAAAACAGTGCTGTTTTCATGATCTAGAAGATAAGGGCAATGTTTCTGATTATATTTGAGAAAGTATCTAGTACTGCTATTTCACAATAGAAAGCTCACGTCCAGGGTATCTTGGAGGGGGGGAATCACATCAACTTTGGTTAACAGATACACAAAGGAGAGAAAAATAATTCCCCTTAAGATTTGGGTTTGGTACTAGGATATTAGTGGGTTTCTAAAGTTAAAAGCATTTTAAGATGTTGGCTCCTCTAACCTTTTTATTCTGAGACTACATTTACATGTGTTGTGTAAGAGCCACCAAGTACCCCTTTTTGATTATATAAGTGCTTGGGACTAAGTTAGATATAATAGCAATTTCTGTGTGGCCCAGGCAGGCATGGGGGCATGGAAGGAGTCAAGCTCATGGTTGCTGGTAAGGCAGTGTGGAGGTAGGAGGGTGGGAGACAGGCAGATGTAGAAAGAATATAAAATTGTATTCTTTACGTGGGAACACCCTGCCAAACAGAACAGCGGTAGAGTGGGTGGAGAAATCAGCAGTACATGCCGGTGAAGACTGAATCCAAAGACAGGAAATCTTTGTGTTTTCCCCTTTGCATCAGTTGTTGGCTCTGGTTCTGTTCTTTTCAGTCAACTCCTGCTCTCTCCCTCCATTTCTCTTCCTCTCACCTTCCTATTATTTAGTCTAAGTAACTGTAGACAAGCTGCGCATCCAAGTTGTGAGGAAAGGGCCAATGGCTTTTTAGACTCTTTTCATGAGAACATTCATATCCCCCTTTAGGAAACGTTCAGACTTGTTAAAGAGAAGCTTAGATCCAGAATGTTTGTTGGAGCCGCTTAGTTCTGTTGAATAAAGAGGCACCCTCGGTTTCTTCCTACAGTGCAGTGCTCTATCCCCCTGGATATTCAGTGTTATCCACGGACCAGCAGTATCAGCATCAGGGAGCTTGCTAGACATGCAGACTCTTGGGCTTGTCCATGACTGACTGGATTAGAATCTCATTTAGTAAGACCCACCAGGTGATTTGTATGAAAAGTTGAAAAGCGCCGATTTATCCCTTCTTAAAAACAGAATCAGCTCAGAGTAATGTCCACCAGACAACAGAAACTTTGGGATACACGTTTGTATGTTGCTATGGTGAGAAATATGTAATTGAGAAGTTTACCCACCTTGAACAGCTGTCCTATGAAAGGGGATTCAATTAGGTTCTGAGATAAATCAACTCTCTATTATGGACCACCTGAGTCCTGTAAGTTACTTCTAACACTTGGTGCCACAGAAAATGTAGCTGATAACCATTCTAATATTATTAGAACTTAAATAATAGTATAAATTTGTGTGAACTCAAGGCAAGACTTGACTGAAAAGTGGCAAAATTAGGAAAAAAAATCTGTCAGGATTTGGAATCTGCCAGACCTAGTTTGAAATCAGTCTTTGTTATGTATCTATTTTGGTGACCTGAGACAAATGACTTCATCCTCCCTTCCTTCAGTTTCCTCATCTTAAAATGGGAATAGGTATAATAGCTACTTCAAAAGTCTAGTTAAGGGGCACCTGGGTGCTTAGCAGGTTAAGCGGTGTTAGTAGGTGCTATCTTATTATTTTTTAAAAGTTCTTTTCTTTAAGCCTATTCTTTTAAGTATTTAATTTTGCTGCATTTGAGATCTTAGAAAAATTTAGTCTTTTACTACAGGATGTTTTCTTTCTTTCTTTCTTTCTTTCTTTCTTTCTTTCTTTCTTTCTTTCTTTCTTTCTTTCTTCTTTCTTTCTTATCTTCAATAGAAGATAAATGTATACATATAAGAAAATAAGTAGTAATTACATTTAATATTAATAAATATTTTCTCAGTGTTTTTACTGAGATAATTTACATAGCATGAATTAGAAAATTGAATCTATGGAGAAAATATTATTTTGGAGGATGTAAGCTAGTTAACATTTTACTTCAATAATAATTAAAGGCCTAACAAGTAATTCTTTTTTTAAAGACCTTTATTGAAATATACTTTATATGCAACTCAGTGGGGTTTGTTTAAAGATTTCATTCATTTATTTTAGAAAGAGACGGAGAGGGGCACCTGGGTGGCTCAGTTGGTTAAGTGTCTGCCTTTGGCTCAGGTCATGATCCCAGAGTCCTGGGATCGAGCCCCGCATCGGGCTCCCTGATGGGGAGCGGGGAGTCAGTTCTCCCTCTGACCCTCCCCCCTCTTGTGCTCTCTCTCTCAAATAAATGAATAAAATCTTTAAAAAAAATAGAAAGAGACGGAGAGTGCAAGAGCAGGGGGAAGAGCAGAGGGAGAGGGAGAGAGAGAGATCATCCCCAGCAGTCTCCACGCTGAGTGCAGAGGCTGACATAGGGCTCGATCCCAGGACCCCTCGATGATGACCTGAGTAGAAACCAAGAGTTGGACACTTAACCGACTGAGCCACCCAGGCGCCCCAACTCAGTGGGTTTTAAGTAGACTTCAAGAACTGTGCAGCTATCACAATAATACAATTTTGCATGACCCCCCCCCAAAATCTGTTAGGTCCACTTGCAGTCAGTCTCCATTCTTACCCCCAGCTCCAGGAAACCACTAATGTCTCCATTGTTATATACTTGCCTTTTCTGGACATTCCATATAAATGGAATCATACAATACTTGGTCTTTTGCATCTGGCGTATTCGATTTAACATAATATGTCTGAGATTCCTCTTTGATGCAGCATATATCAGTACTTCATTCCTTTTTATTGCCAAATAGTATTCCATTATGTGCACACACCACATTTTGTTTATCTATTTTCAGATAAAAGGCATTTGGATTGTTTCCACTCTGGGGCTCTTAGGATAATGCTGCTATGCACATTCATGTACATGTTTTTGTGTAGAAAAAAAAAAAAAGAAATTCATTCTTAGAGTAATGTCTTTGAAGTGTTATTAAGGTTTATTTAATAATTATGTATTCTTATACTAAGTCAAATGCTGAAATATCTAGTTGAAATAGGAGGGTAATGATGTACAATGAAAATGAAAAGTGTCATCCCAAACTGAATTATATATATAAATGGTTAACTTTAGAACAAATACTATAAAAATAACATGTACATATAACTTTATTTTCAGGTGCTCCAGTATTATCTCAAGGATTACAGCCTGAAGAAGAACTACAACTGTGGAATGAGGTAAAGCATTGTCCTTATACAAATTAGTGGAAACTTTACCTTCTTTGAAATTATCAAATGAAATAAGGTAATCGAGTTTTGGGACAACTATGATTTTACTAACATTCTGATATCATAATATTCAGAATTATTATTCTTTTGAAACAAAAGAAAGAGAGACGAAAAGAAACAAAACAATTACAGCAAATGGTAAAGTAAGATGGCAGAAATAAGCCCTAATAATAGAGTAATTACAATAATGTGAATGTACCAAAAATACCACGTAAGGACAGAGATTCTCAGATTGGATTTTCTTTTAAAGATCCAGCAATAGGTTGTCTATAAAAGTCACACTTGAAAAAGAAAACAAAGGCTAAGCAAAAAGTATGGAAAAGGACATACCAAGCAAATATGAACTGTAAGAAAATTGGAGCAGTCTCAATATCTGATAAAAAAGAATTCAATTAAACAAACCATCTTAGCAAAGAGGGACCTTGTTTTATGTTTTTATTAAATTATGCTAAGTATCTCAGTATGCTCAGATCTTAAACTATGCTCAGTGTCTTATGCTGATAAAAGAATAGCAGGGTAAATGATACAGCCATTATTAATATGTATTTTTAAAAACTCAAAATTTGCTTAATAACTGATAGAACTTCAGGGAACATTTGTAGTTAGAGAATTTGATACACTGCTCTCAAAACTGATAGTTAAAACAAATAACATCAGTAGATATAGCAAAGATTTAACCATATAATTAATAAGTTTGGTCTATTAGAAATATTTTTTGAAATCTACACTAAATAGTATACACATTCCTTTTTGAGTATAATTGGAACATTAAACAAAAATAGACCATGTGTTAGGACACAAAGAAAATTTCCATAAGTTAAAAAGGAAGCATTTTAAGTGTTTTCCGATCATAATGCAGTAAAATGAGAAATTAACAACAAAAGTATAACTTCAATATCCCATCTGTTTGGAAAACAAGTAATATTTTGGTAAATAATCCCAGGCTAAAGAGGAAATTATAGAATAGTTAGAATTAAATGACAATCGCTTCTTGGCCTTTTGGCTAAGATCAAGTGTAGAATTAAATGACATAAAAACATTATAAATCAAAATTTGGGGGCGCCTGGCTGGCTCAGTCAGTAGAGCATGCAACTCTTGATCTCAGGGTCGTGAGTTCAAGCCCCATGTGGGGTGTAGTTGGACTAGAAGTGCCTGAGAGTAAATGCTCCCACCACTGAAAATAACCCTCTGTTGGTGACCCAAGGGAGTTGGTAGATAAATACCTCCGCTGCCTCGTCCCTCAGTTGGGATAACAGATGTATTCTGCATTGACTCCTAGAATTCCCTAGATTGATCCCAGTTACTCGTGGTGGTAATCTGCTTGATAACATATACTTTATGGGATTCCTTCTCTTCCCTGTTTGTCTTCTTCACTATTCTGCCAGTGCTTCTTGGATCATCTCCCTAATAATCTACTCATATCCACATCACTATCTCAAGGTCTGTTCCTGGGAGAACCCAAACTAAGGCAGAAATGCACAACTTACAATAAAAGTAACATTAAAAATCATAGGGAAAAGCACAGATTGTTTGGCAAGTGAAGGTTGAGAAACTGGCTCGCTGTATGGAGAGAAATAAAGCTAACACTCCACTGACCATTTTGTAATGTATGTAAATATCAAATCACTATGTTGTGCACCTGAAACTAATATGTGCCAATTATTCTTCAATAAAAAAACTAACAGGTGGGCTCCAAGTTGATTAAAGATCTAAATATAAAGGGTAAATTACAGAATCTATCTTTTCTATTAGGAAAATATCTTTGTGAGCTAGGAGCAGGGAATGACTTCTAAAACAAAATTTCAAATAGAAATCATAAGGCCAAAAAGATGATGGATTGAATTACATTAAAAGTAAAGATTTCTTTCAAAAGGATTACATTTAAAAAGTAAGAGCCTTTGAATGTTGCTGGTTGTGTCTAAAACTGACAAAGGATTAATTTCTAGAATCTCTAAGATATTCCATGAAACCAAATGGATAAAGATAGGGATCCAAGGCAAAAGTAGACAAAAAGATTTACAAAGAAGAAACCTAAAGGCCAACAAGCATCTAACAAGATGCTCAGATTCATTAGTAATAATGAAATGAAAATTAAGACAACAACAAAGTGTGACTCTCTACCCATTAGACTGGCAAAAGAAAATGGAATCTAGATAATGGCAAGTGTTAGCAAGGATGTGGGATGTACAAACCTCACTCATTGCTGGTGAGAGTGTCAACTGGTGGAGCTATCTGGAAAGCAACCTAGATATCCCCTTGATCTAGCATTCCCTCTCCTGGGCATGTAGCTCCAAGATGTCCTTCTGTGGATCCATAAGTGGAGGATAGATACAGGGAGATTGATTACAGCTTTGCTTTTAATGGAACTGGAGGAAACCCAGCTGTCTATCACTGGGGAATGGGTAGGCAACAGACATAGAGTAGGTGCACATTTTAGAGTATTCTATAGCAGTTAGGAGCAACATACCAGATGTCCCCAGTAACATGGAAGAGATCTCAAAGTATAGTGTTAAGTGAAAAAAGGTAAGAAAGTACCATACATGCACACCAAATAGCAATAGAAATTTTACAAGAACATAAATAAATGGAGACTACTCATCAAATAAATTAGAAGAGTTGCCCGTGGGAGGATGAACTAGGAGTAGGAAATTGAAATATAAAAGAATAAATAAAGCCAGTTCAATGACGATCATGAACTAGGAGCTGAGGAGAATATTCTGTGTACCTAAGCCACCTCTAACAAAATACATAAAGGAAGAGTTAAGATGAACAGTAAGTGCCAAGTACTACACAATCTCTAATGGCATAGAAATTCATAAAGTCTGTTATAAGGTTCTCTGCCTTGGTATATCAGAATACATGCTAGAGGTATATATACAAGAAGAGTAATTTAGACAACAGACATTAATGTATAATTCAGAAACATTTATTTTAGCTTGAAATTATCTATATTTCTGTAGAAAATCTTTGAAGAAATATTTTAGATGATAAAGCTGGGAAAAAACTATAGTTGTAAAACACTATAAATTCTTTTACAGAAAAAGAGACTTAAAGAAATTAAGACGCTAGGGGCGCCTGGGTGGCTCAGTTGTTAAGTGGCTGCCTTCCGCTCAGATCATGATCCCAGGGTCCTGGGATCGAGCCCCACATCGAGCCCCACATCAGGCCCCACATCGGGCTCCCTGCTCGAAGGGAAGCCTGCTTCTCCCTCTCCCGCTCCTCCTGCTTGTGTCCCTCTCGTGCTGTGTCTCTCTCTCCCTGTCAAATGAATAAATAAAATCTAAAAAAAAAAAAAAAAAAAAGAAATTAAGATGCTAAAACATGTACTTTTCTGCTGGAGGTTTTAAAAATGACTGAGCTATTCAGACACTAGAAACACATCTTTTTCAGACCTTATACAGAGACCTAACCATTTTCAAACAGATTCATCAACAGGCTCTCCAGAGTTCTCAGAAGCAATTAGGGGCACTTAAAACCATTAGGGCTACCAGCTGAGTAAAATGAACAAATGCTTATCCAAATGGAAAAGTGGGTGAGCAGTGTTGCTGTGCCTTTTAAAGAAAAGAGAACAAAGACTGAAGAGCTTTGCAATTATCTCCTAATTTGATTAATTGGTGTTTTTTCTTATTCTCATATTTTTATTCAAACAATATTGATGCACTGATTAGTTAGCCCTTAGATTTAAGGGTTCGCTGTTCTTGGACGAGGCCACCTCACCTCGGCAGGCAGCCTGGTCTGCAGGTGGACAGCTTTGCCTTTGAGCATGTGGTATCTTCAGATACCTAAGGACCACAAAAACCTTATGGGAGGAACCAGCTTCCTCCCACCCTACTGGCGCAAACTAACACTTAGGGGTGATATATTAAAACATTGGTCACCATTCAAAGCTTTAGAAAGGTATCTTTTTGCCTTTCCCCTCTCAATTGACTTCTCTTTTTATTTTCTTTCCACAAGTTCAATGCAATTTAATTTAAAGAATATTTATTGAGCACTGATTCTGGGCAAGTCAGATATGGCATAGCCCCTGCCCTGTGTGCATATATATGTGCGTGTGTCTTTGTAGTCGTGATTCTGGATTTGTATGGCATGGAAGAGGGGCAGGTGGGTGGGCACAAGGGATGAGAGGAATTAAAAAAAAAAAACTCCCTAACTATTTGTGACATACGGAGAACATGACAGCCTCTGTGAGGATAAAAATGAAAGAGACATTAAGCCTTTGGTCTTGGATAATATTGTATACCTTCGTTATTCTCTAAATTGGAGAATCATATGTTATAGTACGTGTTCATCTTGGAATCAATAAGGAGCATGAGGAATTATGACTAAAGAGTATGATTATCCCCTCTTCGGTAGAGTGTAAGAATGGAAACTAAATTAAACTAATCAACAAAGAATAAACAGGACTCAACTTAAATCACCCCCGACAGACAAGAAATCAGGACTATTTATTCCAGTCCCATTTTAAAAGGCCACCAAAGAAATAAATGCCATAAACCACTCCAGGCATCCAGCTTTAGTGCTTAACTTTGCAGCACAGTTTTTCAATGATTAATATAAATCTCTTATACTACAGTTTAAAGTCTTTAAGTTTTTCTCTTTAGGATAAAGGCTGAAAACTGCTGTCAACTGTAGTTCAATAAACCTTTATTTTTTTTAATCTGTAAAGATTTCTTTATTTCAACCACAAGAGCTAACATTCCCTACTTCTAACTATTGCCGTTACAAAAAACAGTGCACTCCCTGGTGTTTTCTGAGGTGTATTTTTTAAAACCAAGGTCTTTCCTCTTTCATTACATTTCTAGACTTTGAATCTAGTGTGACTTTGGGGATACTGAGTAATGACTGAATTCCAGTTAAAGGCTTTGCCACTTTCTTTACATGTTATGTTTCTCTCCTGTATAAGATCTATGATGGTGAGTCAGTTGTGAGTTCCAGTGAGAGGCTTGCCACATTCTTTCTATTGGTAAGCTTTCTCCTCAGTATGAACTCAGTGTTGGTGAATAAGGGTTGAGAAGTCCTTAAAGATTTTACCACATTCTTTACATTAATAAGGCTTCTCTCTAGTATGAATTCCACGATATTGAATAAGCCTTCACCACTGATTAAAGGGCTTCCAAATTCTTTATATTTGTAAAATTTCTCTCTAGTATAAGTTCTCTGATAACAAGTCAGGGACTAGCATTGTTTAAAGGCTTGCCACATTCTTTAACTGGCACTCATGCCTTACTCAACAGCAAAGAATTCAGAAATCTATAAACTTGATAAATGTGGGATGATGCTTAACCGTCCATTGGTGCTCAATATGTATCAGAGTATCAATCATCGAGAAGAACTTTACCTGTGTAGTAAAAATAGAAAGGCCTTTACAGAGGAGTCAAACATAAAAAAATACCAGAGCCCATAGGGGAAGGGAAGGAAAAATAAAATAAGATGAAATCAGAGAGAGAAACAAACCATAAGAGACTCTTAACCATAGGAAACAAACTGAGGGTTGCTGGAGTGGAGGGGGATGGGAGGGATGGGGTGGCTGGGTGATGGACATTAAGGAGGGCACTTGAAATAAAAAGCACTGGGTGTTGAATGCAACTGATGAATCACTGAATTCTACCTCTGAAACTAATAATATAGTATATGTTAATTAATTGACTTTAAATAAAAAATTTTAAAACAACTACCAGAGCCTTTATAATGGAGAGAGAATAGATCAATGCAATGAATCTGAAAAAAAGTTTAAGCAAGGCTCAAATGCTATTAAACATCTGAGGACTCACTTATAATTACATTATAAATGTAATAAATGTGGGAAGGTCTTTTCTGAAAGCTCAGATCTTATTATACATAAGAGTACCCATATTGGAGAGAATGCTTATAAATGTAATGAATGTGGGGAAAACTTTTAACCAGTCCTTCAATCTCGCTGAACATCAGAGAATTCATGTTGGAAAAACCCGTAGAGATGTAATAAATCTGGGAAAGTCTTTAGTCAGTGGCCACGTCTAAATAGACGGAAGACAACCTGAACTGGAGAGAAAACTTACAGATGTGAAGAGTGTGGCAAAACCTTTACTGATTCCCCAGTAAACCTTCACTGAACTAGAACCCTTTCCTAATGCTGGCTCCTTGCTAGAGAACTGGTAGACTGCTGTTGTGTAGAGTTTTTTCTGTGTGCTGTTTATCATTTAGCACTTATGCTATTATCATGTTAATTTAGATGATGTGATCGGATTTATGTAATAAAGAACCACATGATAACAGGGTGCCCCTTAATTTTGAGGATATTCTTTCTATTTCTAAGATGTAACTGGCATTTTTATTTTCTACAGATAGATGACGCTTGTTTGGCCTTGCTGTCCCTTGATTCTCAGCCTCAGGTAATTCCAATTGGAGGTGTTTTGTAGTAACATAAGTAGGTGTCACTCCATTTCTCCCTCCGGACCTGTCATGACTTTATGGACTCATTAAAACATGTCAACACATTAGAAATTATTACATCATCAGCAGGTAATAATCCGTGCTGTGAGTTTATGTTGTAAGGTTGTGCTAGGGCCTTTCTCTCTAAGGGTAATAGGTTTGCAGATAATATGCACATATTTTGGAAATGAAAATGCTAATTTCAGAATCAAATTCTGTGTTAGATTAAAAATAATGTATCTGTTGTTGCATTTGGAGGCTAATATCCTCTCCCTCGATTGAGTTTGAAACCCATAGAGAGTGAAACATGGAGTCAGACTTATGGAGATCAAAGTATCACTGTAACTGAAAAGTCATTTTATGAATGTGGCCTTCGATCGGATACCAAGTGTGTTTGCTAAAACTACTCCCAGAATTTAACCTGGGCTTAGAGGGTGATTCGAGGCCTCACAGCCAGTCAGGTTTTCCGGCCCAGGGCGGAGACCCAACAAGAACAGCCAGCCAGAGAGCTGGCTCCCTAGGAGGAAAGGGCTGAACGGAGCATGCCCGGTTGCCTCCTCCCGGTCATCGGTCAGGGGACTCCCTCCTCTTCCCCCAGGAAAGAGTTCGAAGAGGGTTGGGAAGTGAGGACTGTTCATCTAGCTCCTGTACGTGTAAGGGTGAGGCGTTGACAGTAAGCGTGCCCTCTGGACGCCACCTCTGCTGCTCTACTTCCTGGTATGAGTGGCACAGAGTCAGTGTCTGTGGGTTGCCTTTCTTCATCGGTATCACAAGTTTCCTGGACCGAGAGGAGGGCTCCGGAGAGGCTCTCCGCTCAGCCTCTTTCAGAGCAGTCGGCGGTGTGCCTGGGGCGTAAGCCCTATGTGGTCTGGCCGAGGAGCCACGCCATGCCACGGTCATGTGGTCCTCCCCGAGTGCCATCACGACCCTTGTGGAGAAGCAGCCTTGGGCAGTGCTACATCCTCCTGCCTCAACCCATTCCCCAGTCTGCAGGCGAGCCATCGCAGGGAGCTCGTGGCCTTACATGGAAAAGCAAGACCAGGATCACAACAGATGACATTTCTGAACAATATTTCAAGTCGCTGGAGGAGCACTGATGGCTATGGAACATAGGATGGATGTTAATCAGCATAGAAGCTTCTGCATTGTATTTAAAGTTCAGGAACACCCTCAGAATCATTTTATGTCTTCAGTACTAAAAGGATGAATTTAAAACACTCATCTAGACACCATGAAGCCAGACAAAGCTTTTTCCGAATTTGGAGACTGTGTACCTTTTGAGGAGAGCTTTGGTAAATTTACTCTGGAATCGTTTACATTTACTGATACAACTTTTAAAATCATTACTTTTCGCATTAACTATAATTTTATTACTTATGTGATTATGCGAACATTCACATACAGAGCATTCACATTCAAAACATTTTTACCGAATAGGGAAGAAAGGATCTTTAAGGTCCACAAATTAAAAAAAAATATATTAAAAACTTAGCGTAAGAAAAATCCTTTTTTTTTTTTTAAAGATTTTATTTATTTAATTGACAGAGAGAGACAGAGAGAGAGGGAACACAAGCGGGGGGAGTGGGAGAGGGAGAAGCAGGCTTCCCGCCGAGCAGGGAGCCGGATGCGGGACTCGATCCCAGGACCCTGGGACCGTGACCGGAGCTGAAGGCAGTTGCTTAACCAACTGAGCCACCCAGGCGCCCCGCGTAAGAAAAATCCTTAAAGAAAAGTTAGTTGTAGCACAGAGAATAATGGCTGCCTGAGAAGAGTAGCTGGAGAAAATGAAACATGTTTTGAAACTTTTTCCATCAAACTTCAGTCTTTTTGCCAAGCCTTGTCTGGCTTCAAAGCTGTGTTCTCAGGAAACACTAAATTTATTCTTCTGTGTGTTAAGAGACACATGACATCACTAGATACTTTCTTTTTATTGTTTTGTGTTTTACAGCATTTCTAGATGGGCCATAAAAGGAGGTTTCAGGAATTTGTTTCCAGATTTTTATGGGGTGACTTATGTACCCAACCCTGAAGGGAAAAAGTGGGAAGGAGTGTATCACAGTGTTACTCTTTCTCTCATCCAACTCCCTGGCCATAGGCTCAACAGTCAATGCCAAGGAAATACAGGGACGTCGATGGCCAAGCTCCCAGGTCTACACTGGACCAACTGTTGGCCACTTCCTTCACACATGGGAACAACCCTTCCTGTCCTGTATATCACACAGCTGTGTTTTGAGGACAGAATGCGAATTAGGTATATGAAAGTATTTTGCAATTTATTGAAGCACTACATATATAGGAGCCAGATCATATTATTCCTAAATATTCCCACAGTGTGCACGGCAGGCAAACAAATGGAAGAGAACAAAACAGACCTCTGATGCACTAGGGAGGATGCTCAGAGAAGCCGGTTCAGGACTCCATCTGGATCCCTAGCTATAAGCCACCCTGTCAACATGCACTGTTGTTGCAAGGGTGAGACCCTAGGCGGCCCAGAACAATCCTTTATGGCATGTCTTCGAAATTAAGAGTAACTGCAGCTGTAAATCCAGCTTTACAGACCACACATTCTTTATTGCTATTATTGTTAATTAACTGCCATGTACCTGGCACTGTGCTAAGAGCTCTACCTACACTTAATCCTTCCAAGAACTCTCCGAAGTGATGTTGTCATCCCCGCCTTGCAGCTGAAGACACTGAAGTTTAGAGAGGTTAGGTAACCAGCCCAGGGTGCCACAGCTGAAGAGCAGAACTGGGACTTGCACTGCTTTAGAGTTGCACGCTATTCAGCTCCATAACCCATGTTTTTAACTACAAATTATATGGCTCCCCACCCCCCAGCACTGTTCCAGCCCCTCGGTACTTCTACTATGCATTTATTCAGTAATCAATTGTTCATGGTGCTAGTGTGCTGAATTCTGTGCAAAGCAGGTTTCGCCCCTGCTTGTCCATTTGTGTTACTCCTCACCACACCCAGCTGGCTTCTAACCACAGGGAGCCCTGCCCTACTTCTGTGCTCAGATGCTTTGAAAAACCTGATCCTGGGGTGTGCAGTCAGCAGCCTGGAAGGGTGGTAACTCAGATTAGGTGCACGGTGTGCGGCTTCTTCTGCTCCAACTGCCATTGTTTGCGAGCCATCGCAGGATTTTCAAATTGGCCAATAATGAGTAATATTCAGTGAGGCTCACAGCTTTGGCATGTAGATTCAGACTCTGCTACAAGCAGGGAAGAATAATCCCTTTTTTGGCCCTGTTCTAGTTTCTCTCAGTCATATAATATCATGGACACTTAGCAAGTACTGAGAACTATGTATCTGGACCCAAGCCTTGATCTGCACATATGTCCCGCATACAACATTCTCCCCTGCCGGTTGCAAGGAAGGTTTTACTTTTAGGAGCCAAGTTTTTGTCATGAGAGAAACCAAGGCATTCCTACAGAGTTTTAATGGGACACAAGAAGGATTCTATTCTGGGTTTTTGGAATATCCTTGCGCTCCTAACATTCGACAGTTCTATCTTCGATGTAAATGTTGTGAAAGCAAAAGCTTGGCCTATATATCTTCTCGTTTTCATTAGGCATCCAGTGCATTGGAGGAGCTTTGCATTACAATTATGGGGATTCTACGAAAACCCCAGGTAAGGTTGAAATAGTATTTTATTTGTAGGCAAAAAATTGCTCAGTGATACCTTGGAATTCCTTCTGGAAGAAAATATACCCAATTTAGGAAGCATTTCATAAAGAGCTAAAAGGGCCTAAGTTGATTTTGGATAAGAAACAAATACTTCAGCTTCTCAGATGTTTGAGAATTTCACGTCAATAATAATGGAGTTTACAATCATCTAATTGGAAAATCATATGCTCCCCTCATAAGACATATTCTAGTTCTGGTGAGAGAAATTTGGGATCATTTTGGCTCTTTTTCTCTTCCTAATTTATACTACAATTGGAGAACTAATGTGTCGCAGCTTAGAGGTTAAAACATTGTACTTTGTTAGAGAGAATATGAAAAAAGCAAACTATATTGTCAATATCAGTTTGAAAATTATATTCTTACTGGGGCTCCTGGGTGGCTCAGTCAGTTAAGCTTTGGACTCTTGATTTCAGCCCAGGTCATGATCTCAGGGTTGTGACATTGAGCCCTGCATCGGGCTCCTCGGGCTCCTCGCTGGGCATGGAGCCTGCTTAAAATTTTCTCTCTCCCTGTCCCTCCTGCACCCTCCCTGCACTCTCTCTCCCGAAAGAAAGAAAGAAAGAAAGAAGAAAGAAAGAAAGAAAGAAAGAAAGAAAGAAAGAAAGAAAGAAAGAAAGAGAAAAAAAGAAAATTTTATTCTTACTGTGATGCCTTGGTTTCTTATTAAAATTATTCGATTCATCTATGAGAACTTTTTGTCCTGGAATGAGGATAAGTGAGAACTTGAAAAATAGCATAATGCACTCTACCTTAGATTGTATTCTGTATCCTATAGATGAACTTATTTTCAAATTACTTTATTAAGGAAAAGAGCCACAGGTTTAGAATTACATTTTTCATTAATAATTCTAATCTAAATGATCATTGGTGCATTCTGACTTACACACCTTTCACATTTAATAACTCAAAGAAACATTGCTATTTTAAAAGTATAAATGTTTCTGAAACTAAAATAAGTGTTTACAACTGTATTTTTGTAGTGTTTTTAGTGGTGTTATTTCCAAAATACTTAATTGACTTTTTTTCCTTAATAAGATAAAAGAAATGACAATGGTGTTCACCCATGAGTTTCTTTTTGTATTAAAAGCAAATGAGAACAAAAAAGAACAACAAAAAGGAATGATATGACTCATTCTTAATAAAACAGATTTTTGGGTCGAGAGAGGAATATAGAAAAATTTATGGAAAAGACAAAAATAACTCATAATCTTATTATTTAGTGGTAACAACTACGAGGATTTTGATGTGATTCCTTATAGTGTTTTTCTCTCAGGATTTTATTATGTGATCATATCATAATTTCCTGTTTCACCACTGCTGAACTATTAGGATGTTTCTAAGTTTATTGTTTACTTATAAATAATATTTAATTTCCCATTTATTTTTAGAGCAAAATATGCTTAACCAATTTCAGTTTTAAAAACTTTATAATGTTATAAACTTTATACTACATATAGTATATGATTATAATATACTACAATAATATAATAATATAGTATTTTATATATTATATATTATAATTTTATAATATGTTATTTATATGATATTTATTTCTCTTTTTTCAACAGGAAACAGATGAAAAAGATAATACCAAAAGGGTAAGGTGATTTCCATAAATACATACACTAAAAAATGGTAAATGAAACCAGTAACCATCTATAGTAAATCTCACTACTTTTTTTTTTTTAACAGTTCTTATTTCATTATTCGAAGACACGGAAGTTGGGCAATTCAAATGTTGTGGTAAGGTGTAGAATTACTTCTTATTAGTAATCACTAGTATTTTTTTTAAATCTGTTTTTGCAGTTTAATAGAGCTAGGTCAGAATTCATGCTTTTTCCTTTAAAAGTTTATATGTGGATAAATAAATGGAATTCAATATTTATTATGCATTTAATTTATTTTATATCTTAATAACTACATGTACATTAAGTTTATTCGTTCATTCAACAGTTATTTACTGGGTACCTGTTATGTGCCAAGCACAAGTCTAGGTACTAGTAATATAGCAGTAAATGAAATAGAAAATTAAAAAAGAAATCCCTCCAGTTATGAAATTTACATTCTAGGTGCAAAAAAAAAAAGCACAAATGATTAAGTAAAACATACTGTTTTAGATATCAATTAGTACAAGGAGAAAACAGATTTAACCAAAGTCATTTTAAGAATTATCTTAAAAGAAAGATGATTGCCAAAAAATGTCATTAAATATAACTAGAAATATCCACTTCTATTCTTCAGCTCTCCTTATTTGTAATTAGGCTTTTAATGTGAGAATTTACTAAGATTAGCCAGATACCAGTAACGTGAATTCAGTTCACTCCTAAATTGTGTGGTTTTAGTGGTGGTTTTTCTTTTTATATGCATGGATTTTTAAAATGCTATTCTGTTGTTTCAGTCTGGAATGCTTAGTAATTATTCAACTATAATATTCCTTCTATGCTTGTGACTCACTCCCATGGACCAATTTAGGGAATGAGGAGCATAGTGTATTTTAAATATACATGTACATATGAAAAGGTAACTGTAATATAAACTCAGTTTTAAATGTTTGTCATATTGAATATTCTTATGTACGAGGAGTTGAATGTTAGGATGAATTGGTTAACAAATAACCATCATATAAGACTTAAAATAATCCATTTGATAAATTTGAATTTAATATTTGTGAGAAGATTCAATTCAAGCCATGCCTTTAAAATGCAACTGTATCAGGTATCCACATGTCTCAAATGTACTTTCATTTTCTTCTGCTTGACATCTTTACATTTTGAGAAAATGTATCTTAGTCACATTTTTCACGATCAATGACACATTTGTCACTTTTTGTGTCCCCTGTTGTCTTGTTCCATATGTTCAGTTTTAAATACAATATATATTTTGTGAAGGAGATTCCCAGTTGTATGTACAGGATAATCTTCCAGACAAACATTTTCATAGCAGAAAACTGATTCTCACAGAGTTGGTTTCATCTGTCCAAACCATTTTGCGTAAGTCTGGAAGCAGACAGCCTTTTGCCTCTCAGAGAGATGCAGGCGGTTGATTTACTTGCTGGCAGCTGGTGATGGGGCTGAGGCCCTAAGGAAAGTGTTTCTTCAGCATAATGACAAGGATCCTAGCATAGAGCTACCACATTTTATTCAATCTCTTGGCTTATTCTCCATGTTCTTTGAAGTGTTCTCAAAGGGCTACATTACATAACATCTTTCTTGTTCTTTTTTGTCTGGAGCAAGTAGAGTGGGTAAAACCAAAACCAAAACCAAATAGGAAACTGTCTTTATGCCCAATGCTGAGAAGCTTTTGTGCTCATCACGTGTGTGTGTGTTCGTGTCTCTCAGTCATCTGTCGTGCATCCGTTACTGCAGCTTGTTCCTCAACTGCATGAGAGAAGAATGAAGAGATTCAGACTGGACGTATGTAACCCAAACTGCATGCTTGCTTTGCCACTCTTTGTGGGGCCATTAATTCCCAGTTGTGGTGATGCAGAAGACAGTCTTTTTCAGGATAAGCCTGACATAAACACCCTAAAGAAGAGCATCTGTTTGCAAAAGTGTTTTCACGCAGGAAGAAAAGAGAATCTTGTTCCCCCTCCTCATATTACGTCCCCTCAGATCCAAGCTGAGGGCAATGAGGGAAGCTGGGGTTACATTCCCTTCTAAGGGCCGTGACCCTCCCAGTGAGGAAACCTATTCTTGGCTTAAGGAAAGGACAGAGCAGCATGCCTAGTCCTTAGGTAGGAACAGGAGAAAAGATGAAGGACAATTTACTGCCCCTCGGTGAACAGGTTGGCTGTTTGCTAGGATGGTAAGCTTTCTATCCAAGTACTAAAATGTTAGGAAGAGTAAGGCTTGTGAAGTAAATAAATCAGAAACTAAACTCAGGCATTTTGGGTTTTTCACAATTAAACAGAAATAGGGCCCAAATCCAGTATCTGTTTAAGAGGAATACAACTGGGTTTTAACACATTTTTAACTAGAGATTGTGGAGTTTTTATTGTCATTTAAAAAGAATTTTTAACTCTTTCATTGATGAAAGTTTCTAGGTATTATTTTTAAGTAATGCCTTACATTGTTGTAATGCATTATAGTTTTAAGTCTTACATTACCTCAGTTTATTCTTTTGGCAGCTCTGTTAGTACTTATACAACTATTGTTATCCCCAGGGGTGCCTGGGTGGCTCAGCTGATTAAGCATCTGCCTTCAGCTCAGGTCATGATCCCAGGGTCCTGGGATCGAGCCCCGCATCGGGCTCCCTGCTCAGCGGGAAGCCTGCTTCTCCCTCTGCCTGCTGCTCCCCCTGCTTGTGCTTGCTCTCTCTCTCTGTGTCAAATAAATAAATAAAATCTTCAAACAAACAAACAAGTGTTGTTATCCTCAGTTTGCTAAAAGGGAAACAACTCAGAATAAAGGTGTTTCCCAAGAATGTGCTAGTAAGTGAGATTAGAGATTACAGCAGTTTTCTGACTTCTAGTCTAGGCAAATACTTTTTTCACTATGCTGTCTTTTTATTGTCTAATCTAGGATACTTCTATTATTTCTTTAAAAGATTTTAAGTGATCTCTACACACAATGGGGCTTACAACCCCGAAATCAAGAGTGGCACACTCCACTTACTGAGCCAGCCAGGCTCCTCTTATTTTATTGTTAGATTTTCCCTTAATTTAAGTACCATGTTAATTTTATTCTTAAAATACTACCAATGGTCTTCAAATACTTTTAAAAAATGCATACAGTTTAGGCAAATAAATTCCTCAAAATTTATTTTTATGGTCACTATTTCCTTACTAAATTCTTCACATTCTTAAACTAAGCTTCCATCAAGGAAGACAAAACCTGCTGCCAACTTGAAGAAGAAATGTAGGAGGAACTGTAATAGCCTCTTAAAATTTTAGGATTTTCAGTATGAAAAAAAAAATTCGTTGTCAACAAACATCCTAGAAGTAATATATGCTTTTTGGAATTAACTTTTACTTTCCGAAGACTTTGCTTGACTGATGAAAAGTGTAAGATTTCAATTTAAAGATCCAGTTTCTTAAAACACACCAACAAATTATTAGTTTACTATATCACTCCAGTGTCATTATTTACTAGAGCTAAACACTCAGTATTGTGGCCTGTTTGGGTCTTTGTCTGAATGTTCCACTTTGAGTGAGACTGTATTTCCAGAAAACTAGCTGAATATATAACCTCTGACTTAGCAGTCTATCCTGTTGGACAAACAACTCCTAAAAGTATTTTGCAACAAGCTGCGTTTCATAGGAACCGATGAAAGAAAAGAATGTAAGACAAGAATAGAAAAAAATTACAGTAGAGTGTTAGCTTTGACGGGCCTAAGCCAACTAATTTTTTTTTAAGATTTTATTTATTTATTTGAGAGACAGTGAGAGCACATGAGAGGGGAGAGGGTCAGAGGGAGAAGCAGACTCCCCGCTGAGCAGGGAGCCCGATGTGGGACTCGATCCTAGGACTCCAGGATCATGACCCGAGCCAAAGGCAGTCGATTAACCAACTGAGCCACCCAGTGCCCCTAGGTCACCTAATTTTAAAACATATTTTTGATAGTGAAATGTTTTGTGTTCTTAAAGAAAATGAGTTTTCAGATCTTAGTGCATTCAAACACTTTTCTTAAACGTTCTTTGCTAGACATCCTCACTTCCCTCGCCACAGCTTTTTTATTTCTACTTCCCAAATTCTTTCTCCACTAAGAAGACTAAAAAGACCTGTATGTTTGGGCTTGAAAGTTTTAAAATTGGACACTATTTCAGTTACATTTTTCCCTGCCTTTTTTTCCTGTTTACTATAACATATATACCTTTTCTTATATAAGCATATAAATATATAGTTTCTATGTGCACATTTTAAAATATTATGTAATTTGGGGAGTTTATAGTCAGGATGAGAATTAGGTACAAATATTGAGAATTTAAGATATATTACTTGTAAAGCAAGGATTTTGAAGTTTTTTTTTAAGTTTATTTATTTAGGTAATCTCTACACCTAATGCGGGGCTCGAACTCATGACCCTGAGATCAAGTCACATGCTGTTCCAACTGAGCCGACCAGGCACCCCAAATTAATATGGAATTTCAGAATTTTATAGATGTCAGAGCCATTTCTTAGAATTTAAAAATTTTATTATGCTTATGGAATAATTTCAAAAGGCCTTGATGATAAATTTCATAGTGATTGCCATCCTGATACCTTGGGTTTTTTTTTTTAAAGATTTGTTTATTTATTTATTTGACAGAGAGAGACACAGCCAGAGAGGGAACACAAGCAGGGGGAGTGGGAGAGGGAGAAGCAGGCCTCCCACTGAGCAGAGAGCCCGATGTGGGGCTCAATCCCAGGACCCTGGGATCATGACCCGAGCCGAAGGCAGTTGCTTAACGACTGAGCCACCCAGGCACCCCACCAACCTGATACTTCTATAAGAAGTAGTTGTTGAAAATAGGAAGCTCTAAGAACCTATTTTATGGAAACCATAAAATGTCAAATCTTTCCATTGTTAAAATGAAATGTTTTAAGAAAAGAACCACTTCAAAATATACCCATTATGAGAAATTGGTTTGTTCTTATTTGGTATTTTTTTCATTATCATTTCTGTGAATATGGGGAATACTGGGAAAATCTACTCAAGTCTCCCTGAATATAGTTTACCAAAGTTGTCCCTCAATTTCAATTTCAATTCCTATAGAAATATAGGAAGTGTTTTAGATGTATTTTAGCTCTGGCATGATTCCATTTTATATTTTTCCCTGTTCATGTGGTAGCACATACAATATGTATCTTAAGGAAACTATTTCATTGTAACAAAATGCTGAGAGGAGATTTTAGATATAGCTAATTATCTATGAACTGTCATTTCTCATTCTACTTACTGTTGAATATACATACAACTGACAAACTTCCTAGAAGCTGTTATGTTGATAAGGAAATTATTTTATTATTTTATTTAAAAAAAGATTTTTAAGTGAACTCTACCCCTAACATGGGGCTCGAACTCATGACCCTGAGATCAAGAGTTGCATGCTCTACCGGCTGAGTCAGCCAGCTGCCCTTAGGAAATTATTTTAAAATACAACGTTCTGGTGATATTGCTAGGTGAAAATTCCTCAGGTATACATTCAAAGATTCCTTATTGATAGGAATTATATACTTAAGTCCTTGATTCCCTCCTTTTAAACTATGGTAGATGAAAATAACTTGGAGCTTCACTAAGAATTCACTAAGAATTTGCACTTATTTTTACTGTTAGTTGATGTGTAATGCCCTCGTTTTCTCTTCCAGGAAGAATTCCAAGGTCCTATCCAAGTTCGAAGACAGTTTTTGTTCAGGGTATGCAAATACCGTATTTTAAAAAAAAATCACTCAACATTAAAATTGAAAAAATACCCTGACTGTGCATTTATTTACATTAGGTTTTTAAGTTTGTTTATAGGTATTTGAAATCAGGTGTTCTAGTCTGAGATTCACTTCTTCCCCCACTGTATTGTTTTAATATTATGGTATCTCTGATCTTTTCTCTAATCCACTCATGTTTGTAAATACCCCAGGTGACATTCACCTATTAAACAGTTTAGTTCTATGAAATTTCATGTGTAGGAAATGAGTGTCTTAAGGATGCATTACTCCTTAAGTTCCAAAGAATCATTTACTAAATATTTGATTCAGGAGACTGGAAGAGTTATACTATTTTCATAAGTTTTTAAAAGTAAAAGAATCAACTATACTAGAGGCTGTAAGTAGACAAAACTTTGTAATTGCATTTAGTATTTTGCTTGTCCAAATTGTGTACAAAATATGAGTTTCTTTCTAAGGAGCTTTACTTTCTAAAATGTTTGTATCCTTACTATATTACCAGAGATTTTTTATTCAGTCATTTAGCAACTTTTTTGAATTTCTACTGGGTGCTAGGCAGTGTTGCAAAGACTAGAAGCATACAGATAGATAGGATTCCATTCTTATGCTCTAAGAGTTTACAGCCTAATAGAGAAAATTGATAAATAAACAAATACAAAATACTATGTTAAATGCACCTTCATTCCAGGGGCTGAGGTTTCTAAAAGAAAGGAATTTAACCCAGGCCAGAGAGTAGAGGAGGTACAGAGAAGGCTTTAAGGGCTGAATTTGAAGAATCAACAGGAATTAGCCAGTGAAATAGTTAACTAAGGAATCTCAACTTTATTGTTAGGCTAAGAAGAGCCATACGGTAAGATTTGCATTTTGGAAACTAATTCTAACAACAAATTGGAGAATGGATGGAAGGAAGAACAAAACTCATTAAAAGAAGAAATAATAACACCCATCAAAATCATCAGGTTGCTTTGTATGAAAGTTAACTTCACTCCTTAGTTACACTGATTTATTTCTTATTTATTATTTCCTAGCCACGCAATGGAAGAAGGTCAGAAGGTTACATTTAAAATGGTATGTACTTCTCAATTCAACCCAGTTTGAAAATTTCTATCATTTTCAGATATTCACAAATTAAACTATGCTCAGTATATTTCTATTACTTGATTGCATGTGTACATTAATATTCTATATACATACTACTGTTATAGGGGCAATGGGGGCTTTATATGATGAAAAATGTCAGTATTTTAGGGCCAGATTTTCTTTGCCCATGTTCCTCAGACTATGCCACAATAGTCCTCACTGGTTTTGTAGACATTGACCTTATCATCATTTATCGTGCAAGTAATATGTCAGGGATCGTGTTCTTACTATGGTAATCAGTGTCCACGATAATGGGCAGAACTTACAGATTGAATGCATTTCTGCTTTCCAAGTGACCTGTATCCAAAGATTCCTTATAAAAGCTGTGATTTACCACTTCTAGAGAACTAAGAAAATGTGGAAAGACATAGGAACATGACTTCTACTTGGGGACTCACAGAGTTTCCACATCAAGGCTGGAGATATAGTAGATATATGGGTGGCCCTACATATTTAATAAATATGTTACTCCTAATATCTTATTAGCCAGTGAATTTTGAAATTAAACCCAAATGCAGATTGATAAATTTATACCACACAAATAAAAGAATATTCTATTAACTTCATGTAATCTTAAATGCAGATTCTATGCTTAACATATTTTTGCAAATATTTTTTTCATATCACTATCTCAACCCTTAAATACATAGTTAGCTTAAGAATGTTAAAATTCTGGAACCAGAAGAGACCCCGAATAGCCAGAGGAATAATGAAAAAGCAAAGCAAAGCTGGTGGCATCACAATGCCGGACTTCCAGCTCTATTACAAAGCTGTCATCATCAAGACAGTATGGTACTGGCACAAAAACAGACACATAGATCAATGGAACAGAATCGAGAGCCCAGAAATGGACCCTCAACTCTATGGTCAACTCATCTTTGACAAAGCAGGAAAGAATATCCAATGGAAAAAAGACAGTCTCTTCAACAAATGGTGTTGGGAAAATTGGACAGCCACATGCAGAAGAATGAAACTGGACCATTTCCATACACCACACACAAAAATAGACTCCAAATGGTTGAAAGACCTAAACGTGAGACAGGAGTCCATCAAAATCCTAAAGGAGAACACAGGCAGCAACCTCTTCAACCTCAGCCGCAGCAACTTCTTCCTAGAAACATCGCCAAAGGCAAGGGAAGCAAGGGCGAAAATGAACTATTGGGATTTCATCAAGATAAAAAGCTTTTGCACAGCAAAAGAAACAGTCCACAAAACCAAAAGACAACCCACAGAATGGGAGAAAATATTTGCAAATGACATATCAGATAAAGGGCTAGTATCCAAAATCTATAAAGAACTCTGGAAAACAGTATGGAGTTTCCTCAAACAGTTGAAAATAGAGCTACCATACAATCCAGCAATTGCACTACTGGGTATTTACCACAAAGATACCAATGTAGGGATCCGAAGGGGTACGTGCACCCCAGTGTTTATAGCAGCAATGTCCACAATAGCCAAACTATGGAAAGAGCCAAGATGTCCATCGACAGATGAATGGATAAAGAAGATGTGGTTTATATACACAATGGAATATTATGCAGCCATCAAAAGGAATGAGATCTTGCCATTTGCAACGACGTGGATGGAACTGGAGGGTGTTATGCTGAGTGAAATAAGTCAATCAGAGAAAGACATGTATCATATGATCTCACTGATATGAGGAATTCTAAATCTCAGGAAACAAACTGAGTTGCTGGAGTGGGGGGGGGTGGGCGGGATGGGGTGGCTGGGTGATAGACATTGGGGAGGGTATGTGCTATGGTGAGTGCTGCGAATTGTGGAAGACTGTTGAATCACAGACCTGTACTTCTGAAACAAATAATGCAACATATGTTAAGAAAAAAGAAAAAGAAGCAGATAGCAGGAGGGGAAGAATGAAGGGGAGTAAGTTGGAGGGGGAGACGAACCATGAGAGACGATGGACTCTGAAAAACAAACTGAGGGTTCTAGAGGGGAGGAGGGTGGGGGGATGGGTTAGCCTGGTGATGGGTATTAAAGAGGGCACGTTCTGCGTGGAGCAATGGGTGTTATGCACAAACAATGAATCATGGAACACTACATCAAAAACTAATGATGTAATGTATGGTGATTAACATAATAAAAAAGAATGTTAAAATTCTTAGTATTTTCTCATAGAAACAAAAATCAAAATGCTCTATTTCTAATGAAGGTAATACCAAAAATTATACAATATCCAGAAAACAGATAATAAAAATATTGCATGTTAAAACTTATGGGACTCTGCCAAAGCCATATTCAGTAGCAAATTCAAGGCTTTAAATGCTATCAAGCAAGAAAGAATGAGTGAATTAAGGATTTAATTCAAAAAGTTAAAAAAGAACAAGAACCTCAGTAAAACAAAAGGAAGAAAATTATAAAATGAAAAGTGAAATTAATACATTATAAAATAGTAAAATAGAAGAGCTGGTAAAGCAAAATCCATTTATTTGCAAAAAATAAAATAATCTAATTAGCCTACCTTAAGAAAAAAAAAGAGAAACCATAAATATACAAACATACAAATGAAAGTAAGGAAATTAAAACAGATATAGAAGAAATGGAAATCATAAAACAGTACTTTGCAAATCTCTGTGCCTATCACTTTGAAAACCTGAATAAAATGGAGGATTGTCTAGTAAAGTAGGTACTACCAAAATTGATGTCAGAAGAAAGAAAAAAAAAAACCCTCTGAACAGACTAATGACCATGGAAAAAAATTGTAAACATATCTAGAAACTACCCCCTCAAAAGTACTAGACCAATAGATTTTAAATTTTTATAGCTCAGACATGGAAGAAAAATCTCAAAATATTTTTTATGAAGTCAGCAATACTAATACCAAAACCTTATAAAAGTAGTATAAAAAAGGAAACTGTAAGTAATCCTATTTATAAATATCAATACAAAAATGTTAAAGAAATATTAGTAAATTGTATTCAGCAGTATATTTTTAAAATCATGTAACTCCATAGAAGTGAAGTTTCTTCTAACAACTCAGGATGGTTCAACATTAGGAGATCTATTAAAATATTTTCACTATTAGAAGAAAAATTATTTAATCATCTCAAAATTCCATATCAATGTCTGCTGTTTTAAAAAAACTTCTTATAGAAAGAGATGAATCCTTATTAACATTATTTATATAATGGTCTCAAAGTCAGTAGCAGTCTTGATAGTAAAACACTTTGGAGAATTTCTGTTGTCAGGAACAAAACAAAAATAATCTGTCATCTTTTATTTAATGCAGTTCTTATACATTAGCCAACTCAGTTAGGTAAGACAGAAATAAAAGAGACAAATATATTGAAAAAGTGGAGAAAAAATTTAATGTGTTCATGGGACATAATTAGGAACTTAAATTTTCAGACTATATTTGGCATTAATTCCTGTTTCAGCAAAGGCCTGTTCACATCAGAAATATGAGCAAATATATTCTTAATTTTTTCCTTTTTTTATTTGTTTTTTAATTTTTTTCCTTTTTTTTAAGGAACTAAGAACAAAAGGATAATGGAAAAGAAGCTATCTTTTATAATATTACAAAGTAGAGACATTTATAAAATGTGAAATCAAAAAATAGTTTAATACTAAATGGAAAAAATGTCTGTGCTTGTAACACCAAATCAAGTGGTAGAGTGCTCACAAATGTGAAATGGAATTTAATCCACGATTTGGTTAATTTAGTAAAAACTTCTCTTTGAGGAAAATAGCTTTATTTGGATTTTTTTCAAGGATTAGGGTTTACACAGACTAGCTCACTTAAGATTTCATTTTATTTTGTCAGTAGCGAAACAGTTCAATAATCATTTTTTCTTTGTTTTTCTCATCTGATTATCTGAGGTCTTACTCCGTCCTGAGGATTTATACTTACTTAGAAAATGGTTAGACATAAAATAGGGTGATTTAATTGCACAAAAGGAAATAAATACATGAGGAGTAACTGCAACTTTTGAAATATTTTATTCATAAATCTTTTTTTTAAGATTTTTTTTTTTATTATTGAGAGAGATAATGAGAGAGAGAGAGCATGAGAGGGAAGAGGGTCAGAGGGAGAAGCAGACTCCCTGCAGAGCAGGGAGCCCGATGCGGGACTCGATCCCGGGACTCCAGGATCATGACCTGAGCCGAAGGCAGTCGCTTAACCAACTGAGCCACCCAGGCACCCTTTATTCATAAATCTTATTGGCATCAATGAACTTTAGGAAACCACTTTTATATAGTTAAATACTGTAAAATTTTGGAAAATACAGACATGTAGAATAAGTGTTCTATCAGAAAGAGATTAATAGCTAAAAATATACAGACTGAAGAATAGCTGAGAAACGTCTGTATACTAACATTACATACACACCTTCACATATTCACTTATACTTGACTCTAAATTTAATTTTTCTTTTTATACAGGATACCAACTATTTTCCACAGAAGCGGCACCAGGGGATGCAAAATGTTAACATTTTTTTTTCTTCTCAGAAACAATCCTTGTTAAACTTATGTTTGAGAATCCCTGTGTTGTAAACATTCTCAATAAAAGTTGGTTGAGATTATAAATGTTTAATTTGTTGACAATTTTAAAAGCATCTTAAAATATTTTTTTCTTATGTAATAAAGCTCTAAATAATGATGTTCCTTAGATCCCTGCAGCTTTTGACAGTACAGTTGACCCTTGAACAACACAGGTTTGAACTGCAAGATCCACCTATACGTGGACTTTTTTCAAAAAATACAGTACAGTACAGTAAGTGTATTTCCTCTTTTTAAAAAATATTTTATTTATTTATTTTGAGAGAGAGAGAGAGCATGCACACAAGTGGGGGGAGGGGGAGGGAGAGAGAGTATCTCAAGCCGACTCCCTGCTGAGTGGGGAGCCCAACTTGGGGCTCAAACCCACAACCCTGAGATCATGACCTAAGCCAAAATCAAGAGTCAAAGGAACACTCAACTGACTGAGCCACCCAGGTGCCCCTATTTCCTCTTATTATTTTGTTAATAACATTTTCTTTTCTCTAGCTTACTTTATTGTAAGAATATGGCATATAATATATATACAAAATATGTGCTCATTGACTATGTTATTTGTAAGGTTTCTGGTCAACAGTAGGCTATTAGCAGTTAAGTCTGGGAGATTTTAACTGTGCAGGGGGTCCTCCTAACCCCTGTGTGGTTCAGGGTCAACTGTACTGACACACATGCTCTTTTGTTATTTTTATTAAAGGCACTCAGAAGAGAGTTGAGTTTTAATGAGCTATTTTAGTTCATCCTATTTGGATTTCATCAGTGACAAAATCACCAGCTCTTATAAATATCATAGTGTCTAGTAGTTAACTATCTTAGAATGTGACTACCAACTAAAACTACACTATTTGGAGAATTTGGTCATTATCCATCAAAATAGTCCAATAAGCAAGTTCTGATTTATCTACCAAGAGATGTCTGATTGCTACAAAAATATCAGGGTTTAGCTTTTTCTATCACCTAGTAGTGTTCAATTTATCTTAAAAAAAAAGTCACTTTACCTTGCAATATCTGAAAGGCAACCGGTCTCGTCCATTGCCAGAAAGAAAATCTCACTAGTAGAGGATCATGAACACACTTGGAAAACTTTTTACATCAAAATCAGTGTTTATTGGACACAGAATTAACCTCAGATGGATGGTTAGTTATCTCCCTTCAGATTCCTCTGGATTTTTCCCTTCTGACCCCCCTCTTGGATAACCTCCTCCACCACCAAGCAGGCTGGCTGATTAGAGGGGGTTGGCTCTAGAGTGGGCAGGATTGTCTTAAATTCTTCAGGGTAGAGACCCTCACAAAGCTTTATCGTCTAATGCCGACCAATAATTACAGCTTAAATTATTCCTTTTACTAACAAAGTCCCTGAATTTCACTTCTTGTCAACCCATGCAAAGAATGTAAGGAAGAAAAGACAAAAAATTTTAAAAAGGAATTGCTTTGAAAGTTGGTGACTTGAGAGGCTCGAGGGCCTCCTGCTCTAAAGCCACAAATATATAGGGCAACATTAGTTAGTGCTACACACAGTAGTAATTCAACTAGTGTGGATTTTGGATTGTCAAAATAAAAGTGAATCAAATATTAATTTAAGCAGTTCCCAGAGCCTCTTACAAATACAGAGAGACTGGGGCACCTGGGTGGCTCAGTCGTTAAGCGTCTGCCTTCAGCTCAGGTCATGACCCCAGGGTCCTGGGATCGAGCCCCGCATCAGACTCCCTGCTCAGCCAGGAGCCTGCTTCTCCCTCCCCCACCCCCCCTGCTTATGTTCCCTCTCTTGCTGTGTCTTTCTCTGTCAAAGTCAAATAAAATCTTAAAAAAAAAAAGAAAGAAATACAGAGAGACTTAAGTCATTTACATTTTTCAGGGGTCCCAGGATATTTAAAAAAATAAAGGAAGAAAAAATACCAAAACATCGTTACAAAAATTGTGGGATGTTTTAAAATATTTTATATTAAACAAATTAATATTTTATATACAAACACAACAAAATATATAGGCTCCCAGGAGTACAGGATTTGTATTAAGTATGAACTGGGCACTACACATGAAGTGGTCCAATACTGAACCCAAGATTAAAATTGTGTCACTAAAAACACTTTTTTCTTCTTTTCCAAATCCTATCAGTAGATCTCTGTGACCATGTATATAACCTTATTTGGTGATAATATCAAATGTTTTCCTCCCATTCCTGGCAGCTCCCAGTAAACACCCTTTCCTTAACCTAACTGCCAAGGAACCCGACTGTCTAGGTTTCCTACCTAAAGCCAGAGTTCCTGTCTTCTAAGGCAGTGAGTGGGTTTTTAATATGGGGGTGGAAAACCATTGAGCATCTGATGAAAGTTCTGGTCCTAAACCCCCAATTCCTCCCCCCTCCCCCAACCAACAAATGTATACATACAACAAAATTATGTACAATTGGGGGCTGTGGGCTAGGGATCCCTTAAAATCCATCCAAATATAGGCTATGGGCTCCAGGTTAGGAAGCCCTCCTCTGGAGGGTTCTCTCCCCAGGATTTTGTTATTTCTCCATGAAGATAGGACTCGGGGGTTGAAGGGTGCCAGAGGTTCTGAAACAACTCTGAAACAACTTGCTGATTTGGTGGTGGTGGAAGGAAGGGTAGGAAGAATACGAGCACCAGTACTAGACTGCAAACAGGTGAGGCACTGCTTAGGGACAGATGCCCTGGACCTGGTGCATCTGTACCCACAGCAACGCCCCCCACCCCGGCCGCGCCTCCACGTTGCCTGGCAACAAAGCTGCACTCGGCAGCGCGCATGCGTAGGAGGCCCTTGTTCGCCCCTCCCCCTCCCCTTCGGTGGTGGCAACCGCTAGGCCTGGCTGGCCTCCACCTTGAAGGAGACTTTGGTGTGAAAGGGGTCCTTCACCAGTGGCAGGACGACGACGGCACACGAGGGCGAAGGGGAACACCATGCAGGTGGGCACCCAGGGGAGTCCAGTGAGCACCAAGGTGGGGGGTGGCCCACAATGGGTGGCTTCTAACATTTGTTCTGGTACTAGCTAAATTTTGCGTGCGTCTCTGTTGAGGTTTGAGGGAAGTCCGGATTCACTCCAGGAGAACACCATTTTTCAACATTCGAGACTTCGGTTTGTCTCTGGGGGAAGCATTCAGAGTTGTTGAGGATTGTGTTTCACACCTGTGTCCTTGGCGCTGGACTGCTGCACTATTTCTGACTTGAGAAATAGACCGCAACTTTAGCCCAAGTGTTATTCAATTTAAATACTCTGCTCCCTTACCTTAAAAAAAAAAAAAATCAGAACGGAAACCCAGTAGTTGCATTGTCTTGAGAGAGACCAACTGCCCTGGAGTTTGTCCTACCTGATTGCAAAAGCTCTGTTAGACTTCCATTTATTCCTTAGGAGGAGGCTCCTCTGTCTAAAGCTTCCTTATTAACCAGAAAAGCCTGTGCCTTTGTTTCTTCTTTTGTCAGAGTAAAATTCTCTTTCTGACTTTCAGAAACAGCTTCTTCCCACCTGCTCCCCCAAATTAAAACCACTGTGATTTTTCTTGTTTTACATATTTATTTTCTATTTGCATATACTATATAATTTACTAGAATATTTGAACATAAATTACATAGAATTTTTAATGGATAGTCCTTTTGTGTTAATAATAGATTCCTAGCAAGTACATTTTATCCAGTCTGTGAAAACGTTGCAAATTTATCTGGATTTATACCTGCTCTTCAAGAAATAGGCCAACATATAATTGAGAGTGAAGTTAACAGCACGTTAACCTTTCTTCATTTATTCATTGATTTATTCAACAGCCAGTTATTCAGTGTTTATGTTTAGTTATGGACTTATCCTAAAAGAGTTTACTATGAGGGAATAAAAGGGAGACAGATGTTAACTATTTGTAGTATGATAAAAGCCATAATAGTTTTAAATAGATTGTGGTACCTATTTCTTTTTTTTTTTTTAAGATTTTATTTGTTTATCTGAGAGAGAGGGGGAGAGAGCACAAGCAGGGGGAGCAGCCGAGGCAGAGGGAGAAGCAGGCTCCCTGCTGAGCAGAGAGCCCCATGCAAGGCTCCATCCCAGGACCCTGGGATCATGACCTGAGCCGAAGGCAGACGCTTAACTGACTGAGCCACCCAGGCGCCCTGGTACTTATTTCTATCTGATAAAATTTCATAGATAATTTCTAAAAGTGAAGGAAAAAATAGACTATAGAGCATTTACTGTTAAATTCCATTGCAATGAACTCCTAGATCAGTTAAGGAAGAGCAGAGAAGATATAAAACCGTAAGAATGTGGCATCAAGAATATCAAGAAAGACCATTTTAACAAGAAAGGAATGACAGAGTCTCTCCAATTCTGCTTAAGAGATCAAATACAATGAATATCCATTGAAATGAACAACATGGAGCTTGTAGGTGACATTAGCTAGAGCACTTTTGAAAGTATTGGAAGCGAACTTTGGAGTGGGTTGAAGAGTTAATGGAAGGTGGAAGTGGTTACTGCTTATGTAGACAGTTGTTTCAAGAAGTTTAACCGTGAAGGAGAAAAGAGAAGATGGTAGGGGATGTCAAGTGCAGAGGGAGTTTTTTAAAAAGGTAGTGCTGGAATTTTTGATGATAGTGAGCTTCTCCTGCTGCATACAAGTAAAAATGCTGACTAACATGTAAAACATACTTCCTTAAAAGCATCAAAGGGATGACATGATAGTAAGAAACTATGAGACCAAAACTGAAGGGAAATTGGAAAATGAGGTAAATGGATTTCCACAGTCCCAAAGCCACTTTTACCCTGAAGGCATTAGCAGTCTGTGTTTTGATCCTGGGTAGAGTCACAGGGTAAGAAGGAATCAAAGGGGTATGGTCCACCAAAGGATGGTAGACTAATAGGAGTAGGAACAAGAGATAAACTCATGTCTACGGGAACTCAGGGAAGGTTGTCTTGATGCTTAGTGGAACAGGGGAGAAAAAGAAAAGGAATAATACCTGTCCCCAAGAAGTTGTGGCCCAAGGCAACTCTCACGTAGATTACAACCTAAGGCATATTGTCTGAGTGGTCTAGCAAGCCTCAAATTATGAATTTGATATATACATATTAGTTATATACTTAGTGCCTATAAATGCCTGGAAGAAATAAAAAATCCTCTGTGTAGGAGATATCTTTATCTTAGGCCTCAAAGAATTCCCTCAGGTAAGTTCTCAGAAATCAATCAAAAGTTACCAAGCACACAAAGGAAACAGGGCACCATGAACATGAACCAACAGAAGACTTTTGTTAGAATGATCAGAAACAGGTTATAAAAAAATTATGTGTCTTAGTTTAAAAAAGTAAAAGACTAGGTTGAAATTACCTGCAGGGAGTAGTGAGCTTAAAAATTTGATGAAGACATATCTATACACTACAATGAATAATCAAAAAAAATTAAGAAAGCAATTCCCTATATATTTGCATCAAAAGGAATAAAATACTTAGGAATAGGGACACCTGGGTGGCTCAGTCTGTTAAGCATCTGCCTTTGGCTTAGATCATGATCCCAACATTCTGGGATCAAGTCCCACATTGGGCCTCTCCCTCTGCTGCTCCCCCTGTTTATGTACTCTCTCTCTCTAACAAATAAATAAAAAAATCTTTAAAAAAATAAAATACTTAGGAATAAATGTAACCAAGAAGGCAAAAGACTTGTACACTGAAAACTACAAAACACTGCTAAAAGAAATTAAAGAAGACATAAATAAGTAGAAAACAATCCATTTTAATGGATTGGAAGATTTAAATTGTTAATGTGTCAATACTTCCCCAAACAGTCTACAGATTCAGTGCCATCCCTACCAAAATCCCAATGATATTTTTTGTCAAAACCCATCTTAAAATTCACATGAAATCTTAGGAGACCTGGAATAACTGAAACAGTCTTTTAAACAGTGAACAAAGTTGGAGGACACAATTTCTGATTTCAAAATATACTGCAAAGCAGCAGTAATCAAAACCATGTGGTACTGACAGAAGACAGACATATAGACCAATGGAATAAATTAGCCCAGACAGAAACCCTCACTGGTCAAATGATTTGCAACAATGCTAAGATCATTCAAGTGAAAGGATAGTCTTTTGACAAATGGTGCTGGGAAAACTGGATATCCACATGCAAACGAATGAAGTTGGGCTTCTAACTCACATTATAAACAAAAATTAATTGAAAAAGGATCAAAGACCTAGATGTAAGAACTAAAATTATAGAACACTTAGAAGAAAACAGGGGGAAATAATGAACATGCCGTGAAATTGGATTGGCAATGATTTCTTGGATGTGACACCAAAAACACAGGCAAAACAAAGAAAAAAATAGATAAATTGGACTTCATAAAAATTTAAAACTTTTATGCATCAGAGGACATTGCTCTCTCAATTGAGCAAAAATATAAACCACAGAATGGAGAAAATATTTGTAAATTATATATTCGATAAAAGATTAATATCCAGAATATATAAAGAACTCTTAAAATTCAATATCAAAAGGACAAGCCAATTAAAAATAATCATATGAAAGGATGCTCCACGTCTATGTCATCAAGGAAATGTAAATTAAAATAAGAGACCACTACACACCTATTAGAATGGCCAAAATCTGGAGCACTGACAACACTAAATGCTGACAAAGATTTGGAGCAACAGGGACTCTCATTTATGGCTGGTGGGAATGCAAAGTGATATAGCCTTTGGAATACAGTTTCTTATAAAATTATACATACTCTTACCATTCAATCCAGCAATCACATTCCTTGATGTTTACCCAAAAGAGCTGAAAAGTTATGTCCACACAAAAACTTGCACTTGGGTGTTAATAACAGCTTTATTCGGGCGCCTGAGTGGCTCAGTTGGTTAAGCGACTGCCTTCCGCTCAGGTCATGATCCTGGAGTCCCGGGATCGAGTCCCGCATCGGGCTCCCTGCTCAGCAGGGAGTCTGCTTCTCCCTCAGACCCTCCCCCCCCTCATGCTCTCTCTCTATCTCATTCTCTCTCTCAAATAAATAAATAAAATCTTAAAAAAATTAAAAAAAAATAACAGCTTTATTCATCATTGCCAAAACTTGGAAGCAAACCAAGATGTCCTTCAGTAGGTGAATGGATAAATAAACAAATGTGGTATATCCAGAAAATAGAACATTATTTAGTGCTTAAAAGGAAATGAGTTATCAAGCCATGAAAAGACACAGAGGAACCTTAAATGCATATTACTAAGTGAAAGAAGCCTATCTGAGAAGGCCACAAACTGTATGAACCCAACTATATACCATTTTGGAAAACTATGGAGACTTTCAAAAGGTCACTGGTTGAAAGCAGGGAAGGGGTGAATAGGCAGAGCACAGAGGATTTTTAGTGCAGGGAAAATACACTGTATGATACCATAATGATGAATACATGTCATCATGCATTTTCCCAAACTCAGAGAATATACACCCAGAGGGAACCATAATGTACACTATAGATTTCAGGTGATTATGATGTGCTGATGTAACAAATGTGTCATTTCAGTGGAGGATGTTGGTAATGGTGGAGGCTGTGCATGTGTGGGGCAGAAGGTATATTGGAAATCACTGTATCTTCCATTCAGTTTTGCTGTGAACTTAAAACTGCTTAAAAAATAAAGTCTTAATAAAAATAGTTGCTGTTTTATTTTGGCTTTTTAAAAAATGTTGAAACAACATTTTATTTATTTATTTGTTAAAGATTTTATTTATTTGGGAGAATGAGAGTGAGAGAGAGAGCATAAGCAGGGGGAGCGACAGAGGGAGAGGGACAAGCAGACTTCCTGCCAAGCAGGGAGCCCGACTCAGGGCTTGATCCCAGGACCCTGGGATCATGACCCAAGCCAAAGGCAGATGTCCAGCCAACTGAACCAGCCAGGTGCCCCTTATTTTGGCTTTAAATGAAGAATTTGCTTTAAACAAAGGTAAT